AATCCCAACGTCACTAGGTCCGCCACGGAAAAAGCATGAGATCAGGATGAACGCCATGCAAAAGGAACTGGGCCCATTGGATCTCATAGCGAAATCTCCGCCCTCATCCCACATTGCCATTTGTCTTGAATGTGAAGTGCAGTGTAGCCAGCTCGGTTGGATGGGTTCCGTGCTTCAACTTGGGTGCCCCCAAGCCATTGCGAGGCCAGGGAGAAATGCAGACGCTGCATCAAACAAGATGATGGCACATATGGCGTTTTGTTTGGGCGCGAGCCATTGAAACGCTCGCAACCAACAAGGCCATAAGTTCACCAAACATGTCATCCGAATCGTTTGGACTGGCCAAATGCCGGAAAGGTGTCAAGGCCTCTATGCTTCGTCTCAGCTACAGGGCGACCGAATCACCCGGGCTTGTCTTTGAGGGAAACCTCTTTAAAGTCATTTGAAGGAAACCATACTAATGACCCGTGGCGGGTTCTTCTACTTGGAGGCGAACATGTAGTCTGGGCGTGTCGAGCAAATCGGGAAGCCGCACGCCTCACTTTCCCGCCAAGTTTGCATAGCGGTATCTATTACATCTAATAGGCAGCGCTATCGATAGTGCAGCGCCGGATCTATTCGGCGGATCGACCAACTGTCAGCTCTCGATTGGCCCAGGGGGCTTATAAGAGCTGGTTGCGCCTGGCGCAGCCAGCCTAGACAAGGTCTGAATTCTCAGATGCCCAGCGGATTTCCATGGGAAAAAAAAAATCGGCATCCTTTTTTGGTCGGTTGACTTTAAAGAGGAACCCTTCCCAAAACAAGGGAAAAAAGGGCACCACTGGGCAACTGGGTCATGCAAAGGCAGGAGTTGCAAACTGGTCCGCTAAATGTCAGGACCTGTGCCCCCTGCCGAATGTTAGGAATGACTGGTGCAATTCCTACCTAGATTCTGCGACTACGATTCGACTACAAGTATTCCATGATGCTTGAGAAAAGCCACCCTTCCAAATATCCCTCCTTGCATCGCCACTCGCAGCCAGCTTTTCCCGTCAGGCTGGTGTGGCCAATGCTCCAGGGGGTGCGCGCAATGACGCGGCACACAGCCGACACCTGCACTCCCCAAAAAGAAGACGTGGGGATACACCCCAGCAGCCCTGTTGCCCCGAGACAGAATGCTTTCACTTAGCCAATGTAAAAGTAGTCTGCTCCAAGATGCTGCCTTCATTTCAGCTTCCTGTTGAAATTCGGCTCGCCTTTCAAGCATTTGGCCCCTTGCGCAGGGTCGGTCCACTTTCAGGAATGCCCTGTTTCCTTGTGGCAAGGAAAGCGCTCCCCAACCTGGCTCCTATCCCCCAGTCCACTGAAGTTGCGGTCCGCTTGCTCACACGAATGTCCCTCCAACTAACCCCCAAGAAGGTTGACTTCTTGTTAGCCTTCTTTTAAACACAAAAAAACGCAACAAAGATGTTCTAAAAAACAAAGAACACAAAAAAAAACATGGCCACCTCCAGCGTCAGCTCCTGTGGGTCCTGGAGCCGGCTCAAGGCACAAAAGGTGCCCAAAAGACGTGCGAATCTGCGAATTCCATAAAACCAACAAGCGAAAACAAAAAGACTTAAGCAAATGGAGGCCAAGTAAAGACCTTTATCTTCCTCGATGCCCTTGCGTTTCGTGAGACATGATGGGCAGCCACTGCGGCACTCCGGCACATGGAGCGCAGACACAGCGGCGATTTATAGAGCCGCAGACACACTCAGGGGAAAGATCCCCAGTGGGCAGCACTATTGGCCGCCCACACCACAAGAACCTCCTCAGGAGTAACCAAAACTATGCAAACGGAAAGACTATACAAGGCAGCAAAGCGAGAGGACGAACCAAAGCTGCACGGAAGCAGCGGAAAACTGCCAGCAATGAACGCACAGAAGTAGTCCATCCTGTACTGCCGGCAGCCGACCACAGCAAAGCAAGGGGGTCAGCAGGGACAGCTGAGGCCCACATCACACCAAAGACGACCCACCAAGAGAGCAGACAGCAAGCCCAATACCTTCAGGAAGGAGATCTCCCCCACAACCCCGGCAACGAAAAACATAATTGTCTGACAGCCAAGGAATAGCCACAAAGCACAAATGACAAGCCTCCCAACTCGAAGTGCGAGCAGCAATAATACACTCCATGGCTGCAGAATAAGCTGGTCCGTCTGAATTGCTGCTGTGCGTTGGCCTCCAAAAAAAGGAAAGCTGCGCAAATAATGCACCCAACCAGGCCAACACGTTGCTGTTCCCAAAGCAAACGCAGTCCCGGACAGATCAAGCGGCTGCAAGCTTCACGAACGTTGAGCGAGACCGCAACGAAGTAGAAGAGGTGCGCCCCACACCAAGTCCAGAAAGGAGCGAAGCATTCCTTGGCCTCGTCCAGAAGGACACGGAGCACCACGCGTGCCATGGCGATGCAACGATGCACTCCGGGGGTGGCGAGATTAGCAAGACCAAACACGCAGCCCCACGGAGCCACCACCGCTTGGTAGACGCCAGACGCGCCTCTTGCGGAGAGGTCGCCTTGGGGCTGGGCATCGCTGAGAGCCGAAACGCCAAAGTAAAGGACCTTTATCATGGCTTGAGCTGGTTGTACCCCCGGACCGGCGTGCTCGCAAAATAAAATAGGCAGATGCATGGAGTGTCCATCTAACGACAAGCAACAACCTCCGAACGCCAGCTTTCCCAGGCCAGGGACAAACTGTGGATGGACGAAATCCTGCACCACCAAAGAAACCGTGGAATGATGTAAACATCAACAGACAATGGATTCCCATGGTTTCAAAGTGGTGCAGGATTTGGTCCATCCACAGTAGTTCACCAACAATGTTCTCCGCACCATGGTTCCCTATACCACCACTCCACCACACCACGGGAACCAACTAGCCTTGTTTAAAACTACTCTTCACGGGGAAATATGGGTTTGAACCCCATGCAATAGCAACTCTAGAAAGACACGGCTGCCGTTCCTGAGTCGGAAGACTCAGAATGGGTGTCTAAAAATCCTGAACGAAAGGTTCATTCCAATCTGCAAATGCATCTGCCAACCAAGTGAGGACTTTCGACCATGTCAATGTGGGAACCCTGACCCTAGTATCCCGTTCCCGGTTACAACAGTCGCACACCCAAAAGTACAAGACAAACCTGAACTGCTTAGTGGTTTTCCAACCAATGGTCATCCCATGTTTACAGGACCTGTTGATCATAAGGTTGGCCCATTGTCTACCCACTGTGATTTGGTCTTTTAGGAACCCCACCCTGACCCTGGTGCCCCTTGGCTCCACCAAAAAAGCACCCCAAAAGAAAGAAAACAGACAAAGACAACTGAGCGAGCGGCAAAACCTAAGGCTACTTTGGGCCTCGATTTTGGGGATTCACTATATCGTTCCTGAAGATTTCTGATATCTGTCTTTGCGGTTTCGCCAAATCACCAAAGACATATCTCTACATGAGAGAGCTTAGCCTCTTGCTCTTGGCTCTGAATGTTGTCCACAAAGAGGTGGCTTGCGCTTTTGAAAATTCAGCCGAGCAACCGAACACTTGTCCTTGAAAGGCCATTTGGACACGGTTTTGTCTTGGCCCTTCAAAACCCGCTTCAGTAGAAACCGGGGGGGGGGGGGGGTGGCAGATCTACCCTCAAGTCCTGCTCCAGCAGCTGTCGCGCGGTGGCGCGCTGGGCGGGGCAACAGCGCAAGGTCTGTTGGAGCACCGTGCGTGCGAAGGCGTGGTCCGCGGGCGTCAGGCCGGTGAGGTCTTGGAGGGCTTCCAAGGTGTGCACCTCGAGAGAGCTCCAGGCGAGAGGACCACCCTGCATCCCGCAATCCAAGCCATGAGTGGGGAAATGCTGCTAGTTCCTCCAGTAGAGAGGTTAGAACAAGGGTACCAACTTTTTAATGTAGTCTATTTTAGTAGGGGAACTCCAAAAAAGGATAAAATCTCAACTGGTGCCAGGATTTGTCCAGCCACAATATTCACCCCCAAGCCCAATTTCTCCTGGGATTGGGGGTGCTCCCTTGACAGCCATTCGGGGGATCGAGCCGCTCTTCCCTTGCGTACTTGTTGATACTGTACCATACCTTCCAGTGTTTTCTGTGGGGCACGTCCCAAGTCAAACAAGAAGCTCCTCAACACGCAAAAAAGACCCCAAATGTTGTTAAGCTGTGGGCCGGGATTCAAGAAAATGCCAAATTTGAGCCATTTTTCCGAGGAGTGAACAGAATGTCAGAAACATGCTGAAACGTGCTGTCGGGGGCTTTGCCGTGCCCAGTTGCTTTGTTTTATGTTTTTTGTGCTGTCTGCCAACTAATGACGTGGACTTGCTTCACATGAAAAGCATGAAAAGCAGCACCCATCTCACATGGACTGCATCCACGCCAACCAAACGATAAGCACACCCGCTGTTGCCCATGGTTTGAAAGTGGTGCAGGATTTCGTCCATCCACAGTAGCAAAATTCATGTCCGGAGCGTGCAACGCTGGATCCACCTGTGATCTAAGCGCTGGGAGGCTAAATAAGGCCTTAATAAAGGCTTAATAAGGTGTTTTTTGGGCTCCCTCCCCCTCCCCTCCCTCCCCCCAGCCCCCATGAGGAGCAAAGCGCCAACAAATCCACAGTAGCAAAATCGAATTTCACTGGAAACCCTCTTACTTCACGGTGTCTCG